TCAAAACTCAAACTTTGAATGCTTAAAAAAAAATTGTGACTATCTATTCCTTTTATTTTGCAACTGCTATTGTAAAAATATGTTAGGAACCTTGATATTTATATCAATATCGATATTTATAGAAAAAAAAAACTAAAAAGGTTAAAAAATTAAAATGTCAGTATACAGAACACAACAAATCTAAATATTTAGAAAATTTAGAAAATTTTATAAAATATATAAAATGGCTATATAAACATTCAGTCAAAATTTCAAGTATCTGCGGTCATTTGTTTTAAATTTACACCAAAATAAGGAAATCGCTTCAACTTAAGTTGAAATTTGTTGAAAATTGCATGTTGTATAGAATCTACTTATATAAACATTCGGTGAAAATGGTCATTTGTTTTAAAGTTACATCAAAAATCAAAATCGATTTTGTCGAAAACTGATTGTGACTAAAATTTCCCGTTTTTCCCTTAATTTTTAGTTTGTTTTTCTCGAATATTTAGAAAAGTATTAAGAATTTTTTACTTTTGACCCCCCAAAGTACGAACAAGATTCACTTTCTGATCGAACGAGGTACTGAAATCAAAAATTGAAGCATTTTTACTGCCCCAAAACATGATGACACAAAAAAAAAAACACATCATGGTAAAATCAATATATTCATCGCTCCGCTCAGAATCTAAAACTTGAAGTTGAAAATCAAAGCATAATTTTGAGTACTTATCGTGTAAAAATACACATTTTTGTAAAATCAATACATTCATCACTCCGTTCAGAAATTAAAAATAGTTAGTTGTATTTTATAAAAGAATTTTAGGGATTATTTTCTAATATGAATTTCTTACCTTTTGATKAAATGAAAATCTTTAAGCTATTTTTGTTACGTCCTGCTTTAAGTTGTTAAACAATTTCTATCAACTCTTTATATTGTACATCAGATAAAAAACTAGTACCTATCTATATTAATAGCCTAATTTTTACGATTTGTATGTAGTTAATTTTAAAAATTTGACTTCGTACTAATCGTACCCACAATAAAGCCACA